ACAAAGTTGCCTAAAAACATTTCATACTCTGTATAACACAAACGTGCGCACACATACAGTATACACTTAACTTTGTACCGGCTGCTGTTTTAGCTTCCTGCTAGCTGTCGTGTGAAGGAGGTCTTTCCTCTCTGTCTTGGCAGTAAAAGGGGATAAATGTACATTTCCCTTTTGTAACCTCCGTCTTCTCATTTCTGATGCTGACTCTTGAATATCATCAGGTTAGAAATGCTGATTACAAATGCAAGTGTGAGYTTTTAAAGATAAGTTTTCTCTGTAATGCTATGATCCACAGCTGTCACCTCCTCATCAAAAGGAAAATGGAGAAAAACTATCTACTCAACCGTACCTGCTGCTTAGTTGACACAACGGCACACAGCAGAACTCAAGTTTTATACCAGTAGATCACAGATACTTTAACTTTTGTGACTTTTTCACRAACTAATACTAGGAGCTAACACTAAAAACATAGGCAGTAAGCAGGTAGTGGAAGGGAGGAGCGTGGCAAGAATTTTACCAGAAATACATCATTAATGACCGTGGCATATAGGCTATTTAAAGTAGGTTTCCATTCTCGGCAGGTTTTCTAAGTTTCTTCTTCTATGTATTAAAAAAAAGTTGTTAAACATCTGAGTGGTGCACTACTGCTACTAGTGGTGAGAAAGTGTATTGCACCTTATTCAAAATCAATGCGTCCCGGGGCCCTCTGCRGCCCAAAGTTAAAAACTGTTGTTCTTTTGAGGCCCTCAAGGTGGCGCTCGCGGCTCTGATCTAGAGCACTGGTCCCTCCTAAATATGTCTATAATTAATTATGTTGAAATTAATATTTATCAACTCCTGTAATTATTTCAATGGATTCCAATCTTTGTCCTTTTAGCTTTGTTACTAAGGAAATTGTCTGATTGTTGGATTTTATTTGGAGCGAGAAACCACCCATTAAGTCTCACAAAGGTCTGGGTGGTATGACATTAACCTTTTGGTTCCTCCAGCAACTAATACAAGAAATTTGAATTACAGTAGGTTCAGATGAGGTAAATGTATTCCCCCTCATTATGGGGAAGTGAATTCTGCTTGTCCAATAGCATTAGATACYTTACTACGTCTGTTTACCTTATGACTCTTCTACTTTTAGTTGCAAAGAATGTGACAGTGGTMGCCTAATCTGGGTTCAGTTTAGACAACAAATGGCCCAGAAAACACATTGTATTGGGATGTTTCTTGCAAAGTCATTTTCCCTCCATCTTTACTGAATAACACTTTCCCTATTGGGCTAGGCTWGGTTTAAAAACCTGGATAGGTTTGTATGTACAACAAATCTGCTTTTGTTTCTTTTCAGCAACTTGGAAACTAATTCTCCTAAGAACCATTTTGTCAGATAACTTTAAAACAGACATTTTGTCTGTAATTTATTCCCAGAAGTTATTCATGATTCTTCTTATTTTGAAGTGTTTCTGCACCCTATCCTCTCAACAAAAGGGATAGTTTTTTTATATTTAGACATTATTGACCTTTTAAACTCTTCCATTGTATATGAAAAACATACTGTTGTTGATTTCAGATGCTGTTTGGGGGTGGAGGACTAAGAGAGTTCAAATATGATCAATCTGTGTCCTTTCAATTTTCTACCTGAAAAAAAAAAAAATCAGGCTGATTTTGGTTGATTGGTTTGGCCTCATTATGTTACCAGCACAGGATGTCAGATCATGCTGATGTGAGCAACACATTGACATGTCTTGTCATCCATGTATGTGCAAATGTATAATTGTAGAGATCTTCTGTATATTCTTAGTTTCTTTTGTTTTTACGGGTTTTTATTCATTTACTTAGTCTAACAACTAATCTGCAAACTATCAATCATTTCTTTGTATTTATATCACCATCTGCCAGAGTTTTGAACTAAGATCATTTTAAGTTGAAAAAGTGGCAAAGCTGTAAAGCAAACTTTGAAAAAAAAAAGCCTCAAACATATAATGAGTTGTAGGTATTTCAGTCACAGCTTGAAAAAAAAAAACACAATTTAATATGCTGGTCGATTACCTCAAGTATTTAAAGATATGTTGGACCCAAAAGCAAATATAACAATATTGTATGATTATTTCAGTGAAGTTTTATAAAAAAAAAATGTTCAGAGGTTCATGAGCTATTTTGCAGACAGACATAATTGACAACAAAATGTTTTAGCAAAGTTTTAAACAAAAATCTTGTGCAATCTTTTCACACTTGAAATTGGCTATCATACCAAATTTTAGGTAAATATCCTTAAAACTGAGGGAGTTACTTTTTTTTTTTTGTTTAACTTGGATTTGTCTGTGGCAGCCATCTTTAATCTGGTTGATTAGTTAATTAGTTGTAGCCTATTGTAGATATTTTGCTAACAGAAACACGCAACCGCAGACAAGGGCAAAATCTTCGCCCCCCTTTTCCCGTTGGGAGGGCAATAAATACGAAAAAGCTCCCAGATGTGGACGCAGGAGGTTAAAGAAAGAAGTTGTTCCCGCGTAATGAGCCTCGCGAGCCGCCCTTTGTTTGAACACCTCGAGCGCGAAGCGCGACTTCAAAGTCAGCCGCSCGCGTGCGTTCTTCTCACCTGCTGATGATGACAGCTCCTTTATACATGACGGTAAAGGTTGGCATGTTTTCCACCCGGAGAGACGGACTGTCGGTTGCAGCTTCCCCGGCTCTCAGCTGTCCGCCAGCAGCCACATGATGCTGTGTGTCCCCCCCACAATCAGCCTGAGCCTGTCCGCTCCAGCGTCTCCACCTTCTCCCGCACCTTCTAATCTCTTACATAACAACCCGAGCCGAAATATTCCGACAACACACTGAGACCCGCAGTCGTTTAGTTGGGGATTATCTCTCAGTCATTCCCCTCCTACCTGTCAGATTGCTTCATGCGCTGGGTTTTTGAAAACAAAGTTGAAGTTACATCGAACAAAACATCGAACAAAACATCGAACAAAACCACAACCTGTTTTATTTTAGATTTTATACCTTAAACAGAGGATTGCATCTCAAATGTGTCTGTATTTATTAATAACATGATTGCCACTAAGCCTACAATGCTTTAGACTTATTTGGTCTTTTTGTTAGTAAAATATCACAGACAAGCACCGAATATACACATCTGATTACACTGAAAAAAATAACTTGTAAGATTTACTTGAAAAAAAATCCTCAACAATTTGCACTAACGTTTGTTAAGTAAATTTAAATGTTACAAATTCATGTAATATTTAATCATCATTATCTAGTAAAAGTTATTAAGAATATAGTTAAAGATTTGTGAATAAATCAGGTGAATTTTACTTAATTTGTTCAATTAAATCTTGTAACATATACTTGATCAAATTAAGTAAAATTTACCTGTTTTATTCACAAATCTTTAACTATAAATATTTTTGCTAGATAATGATGTGTAAATATTTCATGAATTTGTAACATTTAAATTTACTTAAACAGTGTAAATTGTTACAAGGATTTTTTTCAAGTAAATCTTACAAGTTGTTTATAACAGTGCACATGCTTCAAGCACAATATTGTAGCATGACACCTCACAGCTACAGAGAAAGTGTAGCTCTCGATGTAGTTCAGGACTTCACCACCAGGTGGCAGATTTGAACAACCTTTATTGGATTCTTCTTCATGAACAAAACAGACAAAGTGAAACTCACAGGTCTTATTAATGACTAGACCTACCACTCTCACTTATGGTTACTTCTGCTGAATGGTTTAACACAAGTTCAAAAATAATGAACACACAAATTAGAGGAACACAACAGACTAATTGCTGAAAGAACAATGTTAACCAATTCCCCAAATGATTTAACAACAACAAACATGAATCCTACCCACAATCCTCCACTGCAGTCACATGACAAACAGCCAAACACAGCAGAATGCTACAATATGCATTCCCTGTTCCCTGACAACTAAATATCACCTACATTATGTCATCAAACTATTGCACACCAACAAATGTATTCAAGCAAAAGAAACCAGACAACTTATRTTTTATTTCCTCCATGTCTTGTCCTCTCCTTGAAAAGTGAAGCAAGGGACTGAAGAGCAGCAGACTTTGTGTGTGCATGCACCCTCAGTTTTAGCCCAGAAGAGTAGAAGTTACTTAATATATTCATATTTATGTGCTGTCCAGAAAAAGCACTTAAATATTACTGGTAAAATAATATTAGCATTTAGTTTTTTTGTACAATAATATTGATATATAATACAGTATCATGCATATTGTTTATTTAGCAAATTCTAGTAGTTTAGAGATTTTGATATTTTTTTGTAAAATTTAAAAGAATAATTAAATAAATGTTACTACACCCAAAAGTTTTTTTTCAGTGTACTTCATAAGCTCAACTTGACTGCAGATGCTGCACAGCCAGCTGACTTTAGAAATCACAAAAATGAATCAAAAAAAAAAAAGAAATCACAAAAATGACTAACTCAGTCAATCCTTTAGATACTGAGCTAAGATTTCTCCACAACACCCTGAAAGCTATGGGTTTGTTCAACATTTTTTGTTTAAAACGTTGGAGTTAGTTGTTGGCATCAACAAACTGTTGGTTTGTCTGTTAGTAAAATAACTCATTAACTAGATTGATCTTAAAAGACTTTCAAAAAATAATGATTAAATATACTGATTTACTTTTGGAGTTGAACTTATTGTCACCAGCTAATCAACATTAGCCCACACAAAAGTGGATATTATGTAGCTACATAGCTGATAGTCCTTCACATATTTGCTAATGATGCTGTTTTTAAAGCTTGCTTTAATACTTCATGACCACTTTCTCAACATAAAATAATTCTAAACTTTGCACTGGTAATGCATTCTTTCAAGTAATATCAGGCCTTTCATTCAGAAACTGCAATTTTTTTCATATAATTTTTAATGTACATAATAGAGAATTGGATTTTTATTTTGGCTTCTTTACAAAGAAGATATGTATTATTTTTGTATTAGAGAGTTTTGATGTAAGAAATTGATCAAGTCATCTGTAAAACAATGAACAACCAAAGTAAAATCAAACTGGTACAACCAATTTAGAGCCTCGAGCAAAACAAAAAGACAAACACAGAGAGAATGACAACAAGGATGTACATCCTTACACTGCATATCAAAAAGTAGATGCATTGTAAGTCTGTGTTGTCACCAGAGAAAGAAACAAGCACATAAACTATTCTTGAAAAGCATGTACACCTTTAAAAAAACAAATGCATCGTCACTGAAAAATTAGATTCCATCTTGATATATAAAACAATTATAACAAATTATGGTAATTTGCAAATCCACTCCCATATTAAAGAGATAGTTCTGTAGTATGTATCTGTATAAATATTGACTACTACACTAACTACTTTAATTAATACAATTTTCTGTGAAAATGCAGTGTGAACGCTGAGTTAAGAAATTTGCTGAAATTTGTTACAGAAGCTGAAACTGATAAGTTAAAACAAGAAGAATGGATGTTGACACCAAGTGATTAGCTAATAAATACTATTAATAATTGTAAATAACTACAAACTCTATTGTGATGGATGGAAAGGCTACATACTAAATAACTGCACACCCAAAACATTTAAATTAAAGACCTACCATTCCTCTGAGAAATGCCACCTTTTACCTAAGAGTTTTGTACTAAGCTCATCTCTCGTGGAGAAATTACAGAGATAGCTGCTTTAATCAATTCTTAAAATAATATTATGCTCATGCCATAGATGCCATACTCAAAATACCTGTTGGGAATGACTTTTAGCTGCTAACACCATATTTTTAAGCTCAGTATCTGGAAAACAGGTTGAGTTTTAGACTATAAAAACACACTGTGACACCGGTGACACCATGTGTCTTTGGGCTTCGAAAAGCTTAGACAATTTTTATACTGCTCATAGCTGTGGCAGCTATCTGTCATTGGACTGACTCCAAAACTTAAACAACTATCAATAAAATATTGCAGGATAATAAACATGTAATTACATTCTAAGAGTTTAATTAAAATATGTAAGGCAACTTATTGTACATGTTTTTAGGAAACCTTGTTACCTGGAAAAAAAACACACAAGCACGAGGAAAACATGCCCATGTCCAGTGGTTCATGAAAAAAAATTACAGACAGATACATCTGACTCTATGAAAGAGTTAAAGGAAACATCTTGCACAATCAGTTAGTGTTTAGAGTAGATCAGTCTCAGCTATTTAAGTAAGTAAGTAAGTAAATAAGTAAGTAAATAAGTAAGTAAGTAAGTAAGTAAGTAAGCAAGCAAGCAAGCAAGTAAATAAGTAAGTAAGTAAGTAAGTAAGTAAGTAAGTAAGTAAGTAAGTAAGCAAGCAAGCAAGCAAGCAAGTAAATAAGTAAGTAAGTAAGTAAGTAAGTAAGTAAGTAAGTAAGTAAGCAAGCAAGCAAGCAAGCAAGCAAGTAAATAAGTAAGTAAGTAAGTAAGTAAGTAAGTAAGTAAGTAAGTAAGTAAGTAAGTAAGTAAGTAAGTAAG